TTGATCAAGTATTTCATGACTTACATGTCCTATTTTCCTAGTTTTTTGAGCATGGGAGTGCAGAACAACGGAGGGAGTTGGCTGATAAACTATTTGGACATGTATTAGCTCTCAGTCTTCAGATGTATGGATGCCGAGTTATCCAAAAGGTACTAAATGATTATCGTCTGTACTTGCTAGCCACTTGATATAATCACTGCAAAGAGTTCTTTCTTGTGGGGCCTCTCCCTCTGACCTTTTTCCTTTTAAAACACACACTTCGGTTACCTGACCCAATCTATATGCACATCACTGAAGGCAATAGAGGTGGTTAATCTGGACCAAAAAACAAAGATGGTTACTGAGCTTGATGGTCATATCATGAAATGTGTACGCGATCAAAATGGAAACCATGTTATCCAGAAATGTATTGAATGTGTCCCAGAAGATTCTATCCAGTTTATAATATCGACATTCTATGGTCATGTTGTTCCATTATCAACCCACCCTTATGGCTGCAGAGTCATACAGGTGAGGTTCTGCACCTACATGCAAGTGTTCTATCCCTTGTGTTAATGAGATTCACAGTTTTCTTTTCTCTATGCAGAGAGTACTTGAGCACTGTGCTGATCCAAAAACACAGCAAATAGTTATGGATGAGATATTGCAATCTGTATGCATGTTGGCACAGGATCAATATGGAAATTATGTTGTCCAGGTTCAGTGTTGCTTTCCAATTTTTTGAACTGGCACTTTTATTCCCAATCATGAATAGCTATAGATATTTTTACCTTGGGTACTTGTATTGCAATAAATATTTACAATATCTGTGGCATACAACCATCATTATGTGTGTTGTTTTGTTTCTGTTTTGAGATCCTATTTGAAAAGTTAGTTCTTGAGAAGGCTTGCATCAGCGTTTCAATTGGCAACCTGACTTACATTCCTTTTTAAGCACTACAGGGGAGAGGCCTTGTTATTCTTTTGTTAACTGTTTTTTTAAGACAATGTAAACCAGGGCCAGAATAACAAAGCTTCACAAGTTCTACGTGGCCCAAAGGAAAAGATTGTAATAACTATAGAGATATAAACATTAGAATACAAATAATCAGTGTTCTTGATCCACACAAGTAGCCAAGTAGATGGAGCAGAAACTTCAAGCAGGCTCATTCCTTCAGCAGATTCACATCTGCCTAAATCATTCTCTTCCAACTGTGTTTATTAGGGTAACTTTGTCAAAGATGCATGTTCCTTTGGAAATAAAGATGCCAAAACTCCAGAGGGATGTGCTCTTTGAACGTCTTTCTACTGAAGGAAAACAATTGCCTAACAGATTCTTTCTGTTAATTAGTCCTCAGTCACTCTCGTATTTGAAACCAGTTGGTGGTAAAGTTGACATATATTGTGTCAATTTACAGCTAGAAACTGAAGAGAATTATGTAGACATGTTTCTGTATCTTTTATAAATTGAAAAGTTTTGAGTGATGCAACTGAAGTGACTTTTTAGCTAACCTTTTCTGGAGTTATTTCAGTATAATTCAGACCTGTAAGTGATCCATATAATCCAGAACAAACAATTCTCCACTGTTGTAAAATTAGGCATTAGCACTTGAATGTGCTGACCATCTTGGCTAGCGTTTATGGTGTTAATCAGCTATGCTTAGCTAGCATGTTGAAGCATGCTCTTGGTGAAGCATGTAAGTCGAACATAACTATTTCTCCTCGATCGCTGTTTTTACATCAACATAATATCCTTAGTCCGAGGAGGGTGCTATATGGGTGGTGCAGCTCTTAAACATCATTATATCGATATTAGAAACCAAATAATCACCTGGCCCACCCCGATTCTCGTGAATAGAAGAGCTGACTTGCATTCGAGGGTAGTGTTAAGCAACTTTCGGATATGATTGATAGGTTATCAAGTGGATATCTCCAGGATGTATTCTCTTCGCCTGAAACCTGCTAACGATTGGTAATGTTGATGGCATCGTGTTAGTGTGGAAAAAAGGTGTTCTTTTTTTCCCCCTTAGAAGATGATACTAATCTACCAGGTTGTCAGATACAAACGGCATCTCACTAAGTGGGTTGGATACATTTTGTTGTTGATTGAATGGGTATTGTAAATTGCATTTTACTCCCTCCATTCCAAATTATGAGACATTTTAGCTTTTTTAGATACAGGTCTCCTCGCATTGCACAGGCGAGGATAAGGCTTGCCACTGACACCCTTCCCCAGACCCCGCACAGAGCGGGAGCTCTCTGCACTGGGTACGCCCTTATAGTTTTTGCTATGCACCTAAGATATACACTATGTTTAGATACATAGCTAAAGCAATGTATCTAGAAAAACCAAAACGTCTTATAATTTGATATGGAGGGAGTATTTATGATCTCTCTGGGCGAACTGACACTAATCCAAGAATATCTGCTATCACATGGCTACTTTTACTCGATTTGTTGCCGTTAGATCAAACATTCTGTTAGAAAAACCTCCTGTGGTTGTTACCACCGATCAGTTACCATACTGAGATTCCATTCTTATGCAGCATGTTTTAGAGCACGGGAAGCCTCATGAAAGATCCATCATTATTGAGAAATTAGCTGGACAGATCATTCAGATGAGCCAACAGAAATTTGCCTCGAACGTGGTTGAGAAGTGTCTAACATTCGGGGGACCTACAGAGCGAGAAGTTCTCATAAATGAAATGCTTGGGACCACTGATGAGAATGAGCCTCTACAGGTGATTTTTTTTCTTATTTCTTAATATGATTATGACTTGGAGTTTAAATGTTTAATAATTCTAAATTGCAAGTTTTTTCGGTGTGAAAAAAAATTAGTGGTCCTTGAAACTGCTTGTGTGGTTGTGCCACCTTGTGAATACTGTGATGTGATGAGCATAGTAATTGGCACGTGGTCCCAGACATAATAGTTTTGTTCACATCATAAGTTTTTGAATAAAATATATTCAGCTGATCACAAGGGGATTTTTAGTCCTTTTTTGATGGCATATGAAACCCAATAGGTTTTATTATGTATCTAAAGCTTTTTTAAAGTAGAAATCTGAAAAGATATGATATTTTCGATTCTAGTTTGTCAGTTTTCCATGGCTCCATGCTAATAATCTAGCAAACGCTGCATAAACAAGTTCGATAGTTAGATTGTTGCTAAATAACCTTGCATTTTTTTTGTCGGGTTACATATCATGTTTGCTAAAAATTTCAGCTTATTTGCTTACTTCTGAAAAAGAAGAAGAACTCAACACAGTCTAATCCTTCTTTCTCGATCTATTACAGGCCATGATGAAGGATCAGTTTGGTAACTATGTTGTACAGAAAGTACTCGAGACTTGTGACGACCAGCAACGTGAGTTGATCCTGTCACGGGTAAAGGTTCACTTAAATGCTCTGAAGAAATATACATATGGGAAGCACATAGTTGCTCGTGTAGAAAAACTTGTTGCCGCTGGTGGTAAGTTTCCCCATCCAACTTCATTCATTGAAAGAATTTGCTGAATATTTCTTTGATTAATTGGTATTCTTTTGTAATATCTAACCATTCTAATTGCAATCTGAATCCAGAGAGGAGGATTGCACTTCAACCGCAAAATCCTTCTTAATGGCGTAAAGATGACCATGTACAGCTAACCATGGCTAGACAGATCTACCTTCTGCCTTCTGCTTTGGGCTGCTACAAGCCAAGTTTTAAAATAAACATGTTGTACTAAGAAGTCTGTACATTTTGTAGTTTGAGCTTATAGTCATGCCAAGATGAGGCTCAGACAGTTTTAATTTTACCAGATGTCAGCTGCGGAGAATAGGCGTTCTGTATAAGTTGTAGGTGTAAAGAGAGGAGGAAAGTCTATATTTTGTGACGAGACTGTACAAATCTGCAGTCCTGCGAGAGTTAGCATCTGCTTAGGATAAAATTTTATTGCCCTCCTTGTTATCACTAATGGATGTTTGTAACACTGAATAACTGATGTAACGGTTCCAGCTCCTGAAGCCAGTTGCGTGCTTTGTATGGAACTGCTCTTTGTGGGACTCTGCATGTTCCGGGTCCTGATTCAGCAGCATGCCAATTTTCGTTTTTCGGTCGTCGTTTCGTGGGGTGTCAGGGTTTTGTATAAGCGCTGAGCTCGTCATTTACCATCCTTAAATTGGTCGTGTATTGTTGATCTCAAATACGAGGTCAGTTGTAAAACTCGTGCCAGAATTGCTTGTAGCGTTACAGTATTTGATTGGATGTGCCATACTGCTTGCTTGGTGGTACGATGCTATCAATATCTATCGGTGGAGCCGTGGAGGGCGATCTCAGTGGAAATGATAGCACTGTTTCTTTTTCTCCTTTCCCCTATCTAGGAAGGCACTGGCGATCATATTCATGGCTAAATGCCAAACAGTTTTCGTTTTTCCTTTCCTATTTAGGAAGGCACTGGCGATCATACCCATGGCTAAATGCCAAACAGTTTTCGTGTTTCATCATTCCAACTTTCGAACCCTATACCCGTCCTCGGAGGCGAGTTGCGTCTACGGCACCAGTGCGCCATGTGAAGGTTGGCAACCGCGCTCGTTTTCGGAGCTTCGGACAATTCCGTTCTCTGCTGAGTGCTGACACAGCAAACCAGAACCCCAGCAAGGCAACCCCAACTCCCGGCGGACCGCCTACGGCCTACCACTCCCGCACTCCCGCGTTCCAGCCCCATTTATCGTCTTCGTCTGTCCGTCACGGCACCGCGCCGCGCAGCGTCAGAACTCGCTTGCGGTCGCTCTCATGCCGTCCTGCACGCTGCACTCCTGCCAAGCAAAACACCATGCACTCTCCGAGCGACTCGCTCCACACCCACGCGCCAACGGGATCACCGTGACAACGTCAGAAACCCAGAAGAAGCCTGCGCCCGCATCTAGCCTGCCCCACCCCGGGGGAATATGTTATGTTATCCCCACGCGGCGGCCGGCCCCACGACCCCACGGCGCCCGCCCCCTCCGCCCTCCCCTCATCTTCGTCAACCCGCCACACGGACATGGAAGACGACGACGACGCCGGCGCCGGCTTCGGCGCGTGCGGCCGCGTGCTCGAGTGGGAGCACGGCCTCCCCACGGAGGAGGAGCTGACGCCGCTCTCGCACCCGCTCGTCCCTCCGACGCTCGCCGCCGCGTTCCGGATCGACGTCAGGGGCACCGGCACCGCCTTCCCCTCCCTCGCCTTCGACTGCCCCGTCTTCGCGCACAACTCCCCCACCTCTCACCTGTCCTTCCGCTGCGAGGACGAGGACGATGAGGAGGAGGGGGAGGAGGAGAGCGAGGACGCCACCTCCGGAAGCGGCAGCTCGTGCCGAGGCGGGACTGGGAGGGCCGGGAAGAAGGCGAGGATGGTGTGGACGCCGGAGCTGCACCACCGGTTCGTCGAGGCGGTGGCGCACCTCGGCGACAAGGGCGCCGTGCCCAAGGCCATCGTGCGCCTCATGAACGTCGAGGGCCTCACCCGCGAGAACGTCGCCAGCCACCTCCAGAAGTACCGCATCTACCTCAAGCGCACGCGCGGCCCCGGAAAGCCGCAGCAGCCTCCTCCGACCTTCCAGCCGGCATACGGTTCCCACTTCAGGCCCCAACAGCCCTCTGACACCTCCAGCCGGAGCGATTACAGCGCGTTCTCCACTTCTCCTGCCGCGACAGCGAGAAGCTCGAACGCGACAAAGCAGTAAGCTCTATGGTTTTCAATTTTGAATGCATACCGTACCAAGAAAAGAGTAAACCACTCGAAAAATATTTGGATTCATTTCGAAATGTGAAATGATATTCTCGTCGTCCAAGCCAACCTGTTCTGAGACATTCAAGTACACAGGTGCAGACATCTAGTAGATTTTTTTTGAGCAAATCTAGTAGATATGAACCACACTTTCTTCTCAACTTTATCAAGCCGTGGGCCGTGGCCATGTATGTTTGTTCCAGTTCCATTATAAACTGGTATTAAAGTCGGCTGATAAGCTGGCTGAAGCTGTTTTGTTGTGAGAGAAAAATACTGTAGATTCTAGACGATAAGCCGGCTGATAAGTTCAAGTGAACATGCCCTTACATTCGAGTCTCTATTTGATTTGCAATGGCTGTTCGGAGATACAACTAGTATCCTCTTCCTTTGCATTAAGCTTGCTTTGATTACTTTGTACATTTTTTTGGCGATTTATGAGTAGTTTGTTTCTCTAAAGCTAGTACACCATTCTATATTGGGTTATTTGAAAGCTATATTTTATGTTTGGCATAGATGACCCATCATTGTCAAATCAAAAGTTTATTAGTTAGATTGCAGAAATTAGTAGTACCAATTTTGAGTAAATCTCGTGGTGGGCAGATAGTGGAGCAACTTTATTGCCGCGCTGCAAACTTGCCTCAGAGACTTGATTAGTTATTTCAATTCTTTTGGAACTTGTGTTGCCCTTAATGTAAGATACTGAGATTTTGTTTATCTTATGCTGATTGAGCCTGTTCGCTGGTTGGTTTCTGGGCTGATAAGCTCGGCTGGTGCTGGTTCTCTGTGAGAGGAAAACACTGTTGGCTGGCTGATAAGCCCTGGCTGAAACCAACTACTTGTGTGTATCGGTGGTACCAGGGTAAGTGACCAGAAAAAATTGGCCTCGCAACAGGAAAGGGCAGTATCTGATTTCTCAAGGAAGGGTTCAATTTTCCAACTTCCCGTATTTTTCAGGATTTTGGATTTCTTCCTTCTGCAGTTTTGGGCTTCGGTTACAAACTAGAGCACTCTTGTGTAGGAAGGGTTTCCATGTTTAGAAATGCTTTGCTGTGCTAGTTTCATAGGATTAAAAAGCATATTAGGCAGTGGATTTCTGGTATTGGTGTTTGCACTACTGGCAACGAGCCTACATGAACCCTTTTAGTTCAGCAATGTCCACTTTCTTTGAAAGGGGTGTAGCAATGCCCCTCACATTCTTGGATATAGACAAGGCATAGCGGCTACCTGCTACTCTTACAATTTTCCACTTATGCCGGCATTTCTTTTTTGAAACTAACATATATGGTGACTGATTTTCTTTGCCTTGATTTTATGGCAACTGCTTAGCTCCAGGCCGTGGGATGGAAACGGCCCAAACAAGCGTAAGGCATTCTGAGAAAGTGCTCATGGAAATTAGCTGCAACACGCCGAGTTCAGTTAGCCCGTAAGATGTTTCTCAGGAAATAGGTATTGTCCAAAGTGGAGCGAGTGAATTACAGAAAATAAATATGAGTAAATAACGATGTTGCCGAAATCATTGGAACATCGACCGGTACTCCGGTAGATCGACGACTAAAACAAAACGACTGAAAGAGTAAAGTTTTGTGAGATAGAGCTTTTGTTATCTGAATGTAAAAGTTAAATTGTGTGGCTCAAGTATTGTAAATTCTCCATCACGTCTTACAGTATGAGACTAGTGTGCATGTATCCCGATGCAACACCATAATGCTAGTATTTTCATATTAAGCTGCTGACAAATTCCCTTATTGCTTATGTCATACATGGATTCGGCAAACTCGAGAAGTTTCGGTGTCTGCAATATTGTGACCATGTACAGCCTCCAAAGTTGAAAACCATTATGCCACGGTTCCACCGAGGAGTGCGTCTCTAGTAGACTTGATCATGGACAACTTGACCTAACCAACCTATATATCCGTAAAAATTCTGATCCAAACCAACCTGACCATTGTATCGGGTGGACTTGAACCAAATAACCCACGGGCTGACGCAATAAAAAAAAGGCAGTGCTAGCGCCCGGATGTCTGGACGGACGCCCCTATCCGGACACCCGTTCTTGCACTCCGTCTCTCCCCACGCACCTGCATCCCGCGCTCGCCTATGCGGAGCCTTGCCCAACTGCACGCGGGGAGTCCCCGCTCGCGCCCCCTTCGCTTCTCACGCGCAAGCACGCGACCAGCATCCAAAAGGGGGGAGGGGGCGGCGGATGCCTAGCCGGCACTAGGAGGAGACACCGAGGTGAAGGTGAGGCAGCAGAAAAGCGAAGACAGAGATGCAACATCCGATCTACCTTTGAAACATCCGGATGCAACACTTGCAACATATGTCTGAAGGCAGATGAAACACATGAAACATGCATCTGAAACACTAGCTGCAACATCAGATCTACTTTTAAAACACCAGATAAAACACTTACAATATACGAACAAAACAACGGAAACACTCAAAACATGCGTATGAAACACTTGCAAAAAATACCTGAAAACACTTTATATGTGTGAAAACATATGCAACATCTAGATGAAACACTTGCAAACATATGTCGGGAAAACAAGATAAAACATTTGGAACATACACTTAAAACATACGGTATAGCCACTGCAATATGTGCAACATTCCGATCTACTTTTGCAACATCCAAATGAAACATTAAAACACTTGAAACATACTCTTGCAACATAGGCTTTGCTTGGACGAATGGAGGCACGCCGACGCGGAGGTCGACGGCGGCACATGGACCTAGCTGTGCAGTAATGGCATGGGCAATTCGTCGGTGGGCGCGGTGTCACACGAATCGCGTCCCCTCGCCTGCTTGTTGGAGGATCCATCGTGGAGGCTCGCCGGCTCTGTGGAGGTGGCCGCGACTCATTGGCTCGGTGGAGGGAGTTGTAGCAGCAAGCGATCCCGCCACGGCGTGGAGGCAGCGCGAGGAGGTAGCACAGAGGAGGCCGCAGGGGATGGGGCGCGACGCTGTGGGGGATCGACGGCGGCGGCGAGGCAGAGTGGGGTGGGAGGGAGTGGGCCCTAAACAAAAAAAAACAAATCCCCATTCCCTTGTGCTTATCCGCCCATCCCTCCTGAGCCCACACCCCACTCCTTTGTGCTTATCCGCGCGGCCTCAAAGCAGCGTGGCTGCTCATCCATCCGCCCCTTCTCCAGAGCGCGCTCGTGGGCTGCTGCCCCGTTTCCTTTTCCCGTCGCCGGCAGCATCGCGTGCCCTCGCTCCATGCGCCGCTCACCCGCATGGCTGCTCATCTGTCCGCCACTTCCCCAGCGCGCGCTCGTCGGGCGGCCGTGACGTGCCATTCTCCCCATCGCCACCCGCGCGGGGCACCCTCGTTCCTTGCGCGCGCTCACCTGCGTAGCTCGCCCCCACACCATTAGTTCATCGCCCATCGTCGTTGAGCGCGCCGCTGACTCTGCCATGCTCGCTGGGGCACACGTGCCGTGGCGCCTCAGGTCTTCTCCGGCCGAGCCAAGGGCACCCACGAGCGTGGCCGGTGCTAGTGGTGCTCGCGCGTCGCGGCTCGCCGCCCGCTCCCACCCTGACGGCGAGAATCGACTGGCCTGGCCTCCCCTCGCCCCTCCCGTTTGTTGCATATGTGTGTTTCAAGTGTTTCAAACGTTTCAGATGTATGTTGCAAATATTTTATCTTGATGTTGCAAAAGTACATCGGGGGATGTTGCACATATTGCATATGTTGCAAGCGTTTGATCAAAATGTTTCATCTGTTTTCAGATGTCTATTACAATTTTTTATTTGGATGTTGCATATGTTTCACATATATGTTGCAATAGTGTGTTCCAACTATTTCAGCTGTTTCAGTCTTATGTTGCAGCAAGTGGCTTCATATTGCAAGTTGCAAATATCAATGTTTCATGTGTTTCACACAAATGTTGCAAGTGCATGTTTCAAATGTTCATCTACTTTCATACGTACGTTGCATTCAAATATTTCTCATGTTGCAAGTGTTTTATGTTGTATAGCCGGGGGCGAGTGGGCTGGACGCGCGGCGCGCCGAGGGACCGACGGACGGTGGTGCTACGGTCGGGGCACGCTGGGGGCGTGCTCATCCTCAGCTGCTCATCCTGGCTCTTGGGTGTTGCCCGTGAGAGAGAGAGAGAGAGAGGAGGGGGTCAGGGGCGACCGCCAGGCGCAGAGACGGGGCTAAGTGCGCGCATGGGGCGGGGTGAAGGCTGACGGGATTGGGGCGAAGGCGGACGGGGGCGGACTGCGCGGGCGTCCGGTCGCTAGCTACGCCAAAAAAAAAAAGAACCCAACATAGGAGAATCTGAGAATTAGCCCGACATAACCCAGCCTTATGTGTCTGTTGAGATGGCACGGGCCGAAACACTTGACCTGACATTTTTTTCCCAGTCCGACTCGACCTCGACCCGGCCCAACATATTTACTAGGTTATACTCCAGGGGCAAATCTATCCTTGTCTCTGACGATTCTGGCTGCCAGAGCTGCAAGGCCAGCCTATCGTGCGGCGTTGGTTTTTACTAGCAAGAAGGTTTTTTTTTAAAGCTATTCAACTAGTATTGTCCAAGTTTATATTTAGTATTGGCTTTATGATTTTGATTAAAATACATTATTTATGAATTTTTAGAGAAAACGTATTATTATTATTTTCAAAAAACATTGATCCACCTTTGAAACCAGTTAGATGACCATATTTATCTAACAATAATAGTTTGCTGGTCAAATATTTCTGATTTTAGAGTTGCATGGTCTAATAGTTCCAACGCCTCTTTCAGTTGGCAGATGCGCGGCGAAGCGTGGCTGGCACCGTGTGCGCCGCGCATCGCTACGCTCGCCACTCGGGGATGAGGCGGCGAAGGGCAGCTAGTGAGCTGAGCTGCACCACGTTAGCTTCCCCTAATTCTCTTGAGTCCCCCCTCCCCCGTGACCTCTACTCGTCGAGGGTTCAATCGGAGCGGGGCGCCGCCGTCTGC